AGCCGGTCTGTACGTGGGATCCGAACCCTCGGACGGGAGCGCCGCCGCACTTCCCAAGCGGCGCACTATCCAGTGCGCCACCGGGCCGGCCCTTATTCTGAAGATTTTGATGACACTTTGTTGCAACTGAGTGGTTTTTCCTGAAAAAAATTTTGGACACTCTTAGACACAATCTAACCATAACCCAATGAATGGTGTAATGTTACATCGATCAGATCAGCCAGTAACGAAGTTATTGAGAGAAGTAGGTTTACTGTTTTCTATCAGTTGCCATCATTTAGTAATTTGCTTTTTGCCAAGGTCATGTGGGGGGTTTCATCCTTCATGGCATAAAAGAGAATGTGCTGGAGATGCTGCACCCTTCAGATGACTCCACCAGCCCTTAAGTGAGACTCCAATAGAAAGAAAATGTGGGATCCTTTCAGCCGTTGCTCAGCAAGTGACCTCACATAGAGAAACCCATCCGGCCTGGGCTCTAGAAGGGCAATTGGCAGGTGTTTGTGGTACTAGTTTGCTGCCTTGGGGGAATTTCCCAGGGCACATTTCCTGTTTTCCAGGTGTGCCAGGTTTGATATGAAAGAGTGATAAGACAGATAGATGCATAATCAGAAGTGCATAAAGAAATAGCTACATGAATTAAGGGAGGGAGTTAAGTGGCCCCCAAGGTCACTTTGCCTTATGTAAGAGGGCAGGGTACATCTGATGTCCTTCTACCCCCAGCAGCATCAGACAGCTGTACGCAAACACTTTCCACATCCCACAAGACCCCAGGTCCCGCTAACCAAAGATGCCTTTAATTGACAAAGAGTTGTCAAAAGGTCTACAGATTTCTGAGGGTCAAAAATCCCTAGAAATTATCTTTTTTCCCACAGGGAAAGGAAAAATTTTAACCAAAGTATACATAATTACAAAGCTATCTTTTTGTGCCCATGCAAATCTTTTGTGTTAAGAAACAATTGATGAACATAAAGTGATTCATATCAATTGCATATGTCTCTTCTTTGCCTTCATTTGAAGAAAATAGTCCAAATTTCTAAATGTGAGTTTAGCCCTGTTTTTATTTTTACATTGGACCAATTTTTAAAACAATGATGTCTATTCAGAGGGGAAAAAGTTCCATAAAGCCATACATAATCTGGTTGGTTCAGGTTATATACTTTAATATAAATTGGGTTTTTATCTTCATATTGGGAAGCATATTAATAGGTTCATGATCATTATTCTGACATTTTATGTACCATTAGAAGTTCTCTGGCTTCAGGGTGGTTTTGGGGGGTTTTTTTTTCCATAGAGAACTCATGTTCTCCTTGGCAATTTAATAGCCACTCTGAAGTAATGTCTCATATTTAATAAAATTTTCATTACTGTTACAAACTATACTCCAGTAAATCTACTGATTGATATACAGTGAAGTCGCTTAGATCAGACAGTTCTCAATAAATTAACAAGGAAAAACATAACATGCAAAGGGGGACTAATGAATCACAAAATGCCTTCCTCATAAAATTAAGTAACCCTCAATAAATGTCAGTGAATAAAAGGATAATGGCTCAGTCTTTCATATTTTCCAGATGCTTAGAGCAACCTTGTAAATAAGCAGGACCTTAAAAGGAGGAGGGGAGAGAGGCTGCTGATAGGTAAATCACTAAATAGTGACATTGATGACAACTTTAATTTACCCTGATTCCGTTGGAAGAACTAATTAGTTTGTTCTCCAGGCCACAAAATGAAAACGATGTGACATTTTGCTCGTCTTCAGAAAAGGTCTAATAGAGGCATAAATTCATTTCTGGGATTTTTTCAGGTTGGCAAATTTTAAGAACAAGTCAAAGGACAATGTTTATAGCAGACTTCTGTTCATCTTTGTCTTAACTCAATGGCATCCTTTAAAATTGTCCTCTTCTTTTGTGTCCAAAGCTAATAAGTTAGTGAAGATCTGGATTTGAATTTTGCTCTGCTGCTTTCTGGCCATTTGGTCCTGGAGAAGTGAAAACCCCTCTAAACCTCAGAATCTTCACTGATACACAAGAAACCTGATAGATAAAGTATGTGCAGGTGATTAGCGCCATGCCTGGCCCAGCCTGAGTCTTCATGTGTTGAATCCAAAATATGTGCGGAGGAAAAAAACGGAAGTTTCCCCAGCTCTGTGGGCCTGCAGAGAGTCTGTAGCCTCTGTTGCTGACTGTAGAACCAAGCAAAAGAAGAGGGCACATGTCAGAGGATGGAGAACTAAAGAGGCCAGCAAGGGGCATGACACTCGGGCAGGCGAAGCAGGAGCAGACACCAGGATGACCCGCAGCCTTGCAATCACTGATTTCCTTGAGCGTTTGCCAGAAAAGGCTCGCAGCTGGGCACAGGGCCTTGTGCTTTGGGTGCCGTGCCGTGGGTTGTGTATGCATGCCACTGGTTTGGTAAGACACGAAGAGTGGTGGCTAAGAGCAAGGTGGAGAGGTGCCAGCAAAGTCATCCAGTCCTCTGAGTATATTGAAGTCTGGAGAAAAAAGAAAAAAAGACAGCCAGCCTGGCCTCTGAAGCAAAGACTGCCAGACCTAACACCACCCTTATAATAAGTATGGTATAGCATCTACTTTTCTCTCCTGAAATGAAATTTATAGATAATATAACCTGTCTACATATGTAATTTCAAAAACTGAATCAGTCCCTAACTCTAATATAAAGGAGAAATAAAAGGAAAATTATTTCTAATAAAGCAATATGTATTTCAGTATTATATAGCCAAGAACTTTGCTCTGCCATACCCAGCAAGTATTCTAGACGATGCCATGTCTCGTTCCTGCTCACAATGAAAGCTTGTATTTTAAAGGAATAAAACATCATTTTTTGTTTAAAATTGACATGAAAAAGGAGCTAAATATGAGAGTGTGTATATATATATGCACATATACACACACACACACACACACACACAAAGGGGCTTCAAAAAGTTCATGGAAAGATTTGTATTATCTTTTAATTCTATTTTTCCAAGAACTTTTTGAAGTACCCTTGTAATTGTCATTAATGTAATAGCTACAAATATAGGCTGATTTGGATATATTTTACTGGAGACTCTGATACCCTGAGTGGCATTGACTTTGCTGCAATGTTTTTTCCAAAATGGTGACAGCTCATTGGTGAAGTTCCAAATAAAACAGTATAAACATCC